GCCAATGCATCCTGCCTTAACCGATTGGCCATTCAACTCGCATTTAAAGCTTATTACTCATATAGATGTGATGGCGTCATATATTGCCATTTTATGTTGTTTAAAATTTTATGTCATTTCTTGCCATAAGAGAGTGGAAAAAACATAATAAAGTTTTGTTTTCTTATGTATCAAAATGCTTTTGCTGAAAGCATCTAGGAGAAAATAGAAATAAAATGTTGTTGATGAAAGTAAATAGTATAGTAATCGGATTGATAAATGCTTTATTATTTTATAATTAAGGAATAAATATTATTTTGGAAGATTTCAAGGCAGTGGTGGGCACAATAACAATTTTTTTTTTCTGAAATCTCCCTTTTTTTTGACAGCATGTGCGCTAATTGAAATTTATTATTATTGGTGGCTTACATTTTCCTGAAACAGAATAATTGTTGAGCCTAATTTGTTGTTTTATTCCATGCAGTGTTGGCCCTATCATGTTGGTAACAATGCTGTGATTCTAGGTGATGCAGCCCATGCAATGGTCCCATTCTATGGTCAAGGAATGAATTGTGTAAGTGAACTAAAATCAACATCACTATGTACACAGTTAAATAGATATCATAGACTTGCATATTCATGACATGAATGTAATGTTGTTATACTTTTAATATATCTGTTTTAAATTTTAGTGGTATACACTGTTAGTTGCACATGGGTCTGTAGGGTGGTAAGCACTTAGCTAGGGGGGTTTAAATTATTATTAAAAAGTGCCATTTGCATGGAAGTTGTTGGAACTCCAGTATTAGAAATTTGGCATTTTTATTGCCATTTCTGGACATCTGAGGTGTTAGACCTAGGCCTATATCTTTAAAATTTAGCCCAGCCATGGTGTGACTGATGTGGGTAAGGTCTCAAAGTGCCTTTTTGTTAACAATTAGAACCCTCCCCCCTTTAAAAAATCCTACCTACGGGCTTGGGTACCAGCATCTGTAAGTCCCTGAACATCGACACAAATATCCTCAGAACTGCTGATTTTTTCAGGTCCTTGGCCCAACTTAAACTTCAAAGCCGGGCACTCTCTGCCACGTGCAATGGATCGTTTGAATGATGATCCACTCAGACTGCCATCGACAATCAGCAGGCATGGTCACGTCATCCAGCACTCACATGGGGTTTTAGTTAGATTTGTTTAAAAACCATCATACGACGCAATGTGTACCCAGCTTAACTGTCCCACACCTCCTTTACCCAGTAGTAATATAAATTGGGCAACACAATTTCTTTTTGGCTTTATTATTGGGATTTTTTTAACGTTTTGTGGTTTGTACAGTAGTAATTATTATTTTTGGTATTTACTGTTGTGTTATTTTAGGGTTTGGAAGATTGCCTTGTTTTAGATGAAATGCTTGGCGCTTATGGTGATGACCTTGGTATGTACATTTTTTTAAATTATGAATTTATAATGTGTAATGTAGGGATATTTAATAGAAGTTATAAATAATTTACGGATTTGTCTGTAAAGGGGCCAGTGGAGCTCTGGGGGTAGTGCACAGTACCCCCTATTGGGTAAGAAGCCAACCACTGAAATGCATACTTAATAATCTGTTCACTAAATGACAAAAATAACCATCTTCCTAATGATTGTTAAATATTTTTTATTATGTCATTTTTGAATACTTGATGCTAGAGTATGAACATTTTGCAGTACATATTGTTTATAGTACTGTAATGTTTTTTTTTTTCACTATATTTACAGGAAAAGCATTAACATGTTATTCAATAAAGAGGAATCCTGATGTTAAGGCCATCTGTGATCTTGCTATGTACAACTACGTAGAGGTGAGATTACATAAATGGTTGAAGTAAATACAGTAAAACGTCCAATTTATGAACGCCGATTTTACGAATAGTCGATTTTACGAATGGTCTTTGCCCCGGATGACGTCATTACCAATCAATTAATTACCGTAAAAAAAAGTCTGATTGCGGATGTTGTACATAGTGATAATGTATATTTTTTTTGATAAAATCAAGTTTGTTGTCATTAATAGTTCGATATTTTCTTCCTTTTATGGTGCAATAATCACTATAATAATGTAATAAACCTAACCAGAACAATGAACTACCAACGCAAGTGTCATCGGATTGAGCGCACATGTTTACGATGACGAACGAGAGTGTTGGGGTCACCAACTTATGCATGTAAACAATACAATGCGGCATTCTAACATCTGCAAAGAACACGATAGAAAGGTCCATAAAAGATACAAGTGTTTGAATAAGAGTTTAAATAACATGTTGTTAAGTGGAAGAATGCCAGCGATTGAAATAATTTGGTTTTTATCGAAGGTAAATTTAGCTGTCATTTTGTACTAGGCATGGCTGCCATCAGCCTATGGGCACTCAATGGCAGGCGAAAGCTAGGCCTAGGTATTGGAAATTGACACCCGATCTAGTTTACAAATTTTTCTATTTACTAAAACCCCTTGGTACCAAGGAGTACGTAAAATGGACGTTTTACTGTATTGTAATTTATATTCTGTAAATTAAGAGTGAGCTACCTGAAGTCAATCAAATTAACTTGCTAGCTCAGTCCATAAAGCTACAAGAGGTATGTCAGATAGTGCTTCAGCCCACTAATCTTTGATCAAAATAACATCTTATAGAATTAGTGACCAAAGATGATGTCATCGCGATTTTGCCGAGTGGGTATGAATTTGTAAACATTGGGCAAAAAGCTATGCTAATGCATTGAGCAGAGTCAAAAGTGGTGTATATCAAATTGTCTAAAATTTAATGAAGTTTAAGCATGGAAGATACTTTTTATAACAACGTATACATTTTGAATAATTCGTAGATTCATGACACTAAGGTTGATTTGATATAAATTTCCATTCAAATCAAATCAACCTTAGTCTCATGAATCTACGGTTGATTTGATTTGATTTAAATTTCCATTCAAACTAAAAATATGAAGAGTTTTGAGAGGCCTTCTTGGAGGCCTAGGCCAGTCGCTTGCGAGACTTTCCACAGTAAATGCTGACTATGGCGATAGCTGTTGATTTAGAGGTACAGTACATTCAGCTTAAATACTGTCACCAAGTAATTTTGTTGCAATATCTGTATGAAATGTTTAAACTACTGGACAAACTTAAATTGCTGAATTGTAGAATAAGATGTTTCTTTTCACTACGATGACCAATGAGTCAGAAGAATGTTGTTTGTATGACTCTCTAGTCTAGGGCTAGCTCTGTGTTCATGTTTTCCATCTGTTTATTTCACTCCATTCCTAATTTAACGAGTCAAAAGTATGATGTTTATTAAAGAAATATTTACCAAGGCTTTTCGATAAGTTATTTACGATAAAATGTACAAATAAATAAGTTTGAGGATTTTGAAAACTGTTGAAATTTACTCGAGCGGAGGCTTATTATTGTGTTGAAAAAACTGCCATCTAGAGGTTTGTTTTGATGTTGTACCTACTATAACAGCTTTGGTTTGGTGACTAATTCGGTCTGTTGATCAGATCAATTTGAAAAGATGTTTAACTATGAGTGTGTTTTCCATTATTTTACATTTTGGAAAGTAAATGACTGCATTTACTTATTTATAGATAGGTTTGATTGATTGAAATGTATACATTTCATTTGATTAAAATTAAAATGAATTAAATTCATTCATGATTTGTTTTTGACAGATGAGAGATCTGGTGAATTCCAGGTGGTTCGTGTTTCGTAAGAAAATCGATAGTATTCTTCATTTCTTTATGCCAAATTCCTACATCCCTCTCTACACTATGGTGTCGTTCACAAGGATGCGTTACCACCATGTCATCAACAAATGGAAATCTCAGAGCAAGGTATGCAAGGCTCATGATTGTATTCAGTATTGTAAATCATTTGATATTGTGCGCTACCCCTGTTAATTCCAGGGTCCGAGGTTGAAAGAATCCACTTCAAGGAGATGTAGTTAATATGTTTTATTACTTTTGACTATAAGGATAGTAATAATACAAAGAACTTGTCTAGAATCATCCTAATCTGATGCATTATATTGGCCTGCTACATTATCACAAATTTAGTTTAAAGCATGTATGTAACAAAGACACACAACATTCGTAAATAAAGTGTGCTAAATCAGTTCTCCTTTAATGAAGCAAAGTTATGACCAAAATTGTATTGTCTTTATTTATTGACAGTTTTGATTTAAAAAAATTTATTATAGGGCATTAGGACATTTTTTTTATGTCATTGTATTGCTTATAATAAGGCCAAAAAAAATTGTTGTGTTGCCCTTAAATGGAAAAAATGGAATGGAAAACTGCCCCTCCCCTGACAGTTTTTACCGGGCTGACCAAGCCGTCGTACCGGGCTGGGTAATAAGAGAAAAGAAAGAGGGGAGAGGGAGGGAAAGAGAAAAGAAAAAAAGAAAAGGAAAGAAAAAGAAAAATAAAGACAAGAAAGGAAGATATCATAATGACCAGACTCACAACACCCTGCAACCCTTCTCCACTTCAAAAACTGTCATAACTCCTTTGATCTATGCTGCCCGATGGCTTAACCACTGGGGGACAAGGGGAAAATATCTATCTTTGAAAAATCTTCCCCACCCCTTTATAAATGCCCATTTTCATCCCCTGAAAGTGCCTAAAAAACCTCAAATTTCGCGTGCATTTCTTGTTAGCATGGGTCAATTTCCTCTAAAAGTTGCACATTTTAGGGAGTTTTGATCAATTCCAACGAAATTAGAATTAAAACAACATTTCTGTGACAGTCTTTTGAAGTGTGTAAAACTCCATTTTATCCCATACATAGTCAAAATATTGGGGGGGATGATACAATGGACCATCCCCCCCTTGTCAAATATTGGGGGGAGATATATCCCCCATCCCCCTGGATCTACGCCTATGTGTGGCTTGCCAGCTCAGCGCAAAAGATCCGATGTTGCGTGCATACATCGTTGTCGTCACGCTCAGTTCTCAAAATTATGCCTTCTATTTTACCGATTTTATGCGTGCTTTGTAAAAATACATGTCTGTTTTAGATATTATGTTCTAAATGTTGATTTTGGAAGTGGTATTTCTCGAATCTGTACTTAAATAAAAGGAAAGCCTTTAAACAAAATTATAAATTAAAAAAAATGCTGACCCGATATTTTGAACAATTTTTGTCGGTCGCGGAGGGTAACACAACATATTTTTTTTTTTTGCCTAATAGTAAATCTCATGATAGTTACAGTAGAACCTTGATTTTACGTACGGAACGGGACCTGAGGGCGTACATACACTGCACTGGGTGAGCCAACCAATTAGCATTCGTGTACGTGAAACAGCAAGCACATGCACTGCACTGGGCGAGCCAACCAATTAGCGTTCGTGTACGAAACTATGCCTACCCAGCTTCGTGTAGAAAATTCGACCAGACAAGTTTTCCACACTAACGAGGAAAGCAATTATTGTGAGCACCATCGGTAGTTGTTCATCTCACTCAGTTCACATGGTTTTAGATTATAGCAACCCGGTACAGGGGTGTATCCAGGATTTTTCTGGGTGGGCCATGATCATAATTTTTTGGACCTCTTAGAGGAAGACAGAAAAATTTGTTACAGCGCCACCAGCTTGAAGCGGATGGGAGGCACATTTTCAGAATTGCTGGAAATGAGATAGATTATGTCACGCAGTTGGCAAGGTCTTTGGACCCATTGCTGGTACCTCATCAATGCTTTTTCATTTATGTCATTGGGAAAAGGCCCCAGAAAAAAAATGTCTTTGGAAAAAATGTGGACCTTTGAAATTTGCATACACCCATGCGGTATTAGACTCAATCAACATTGCTGTTTAATGTAAATATGTTGCATTTTATGGTTTGTTTATTGCTATAGTTTATTGTTATAGTCATTTTACTTATGGTTGCTCTGAAAAGGGCTGTTTGTTTTGAATATTTTCTGGGTTTTTGATGACGTCATCGTCGATACGAGGCGTACGTAAAACCAAGGGTTTGTATAACTAGGGTACGTAAAAACAAGGTTCTACTGTACTTTGGTATGCAATCCCATTTCAATTACCATTCGGATACTCCATCAACTGACCATACACTTTTATTATCCTCGACTGCCTTTGTTCAAAACTAGTATTAAGTTTCTACTGATATCTATTTTCCATTAGATTAAAAATAAAAATTGAAAAAATTATCAAATATGAAAATAAATTATATAAATTTAATATCCTAATATTTTCTTTTCAGATGATAGATTCAGCACTGATTGTGTTGTTCCTTGCGAGTATTTTGGCACCAACCACATACTTTGCCTCAAGGAAGCAACAATGGAGGTTATGGTGATAAGTTAGGTTCATTCCTAAAAGTATCAGGATAAACTGCATTCTCTGCCTGTACATAATGGCATATATAGTAGATTTGAGAAAGGGGTAGATATTAGAGGGCGAAGTCGAGTAATTGCTTCAACTGCCTGTAAATGCTTATGTGTATTTTTGTTTGTATATAGTTTATGTGACCTTATGTTACCATCTTTAATGCAGAAAAGCAGTCACAATATATATTTTTAATGTATTTTTATTTATGAAATACTCGCACCTAGGAATAAAAGAGCACAACCACATCACAGCCCTACACTTAAATGTCTACTGATGAAAAAGTTGGGAGTTTTTCATGAACAGTGTAAATCTTGATATGTCAATGTTGATATATATATATATATATCCAAGGGTTCAGGGTGGCACCAGTTGGGGGGGGGGTGCATACGGAGGGTTAGGGCCCCGTCTGGGAGAGTCACCCTCCCCACCCATCAACATCCAACCATGTCCACTTACTGTCTTGTCAGGCTGTCACCCCCAAACACCTCTAATACTACAGTGAACTAACAGATACAGAAGTTTTATCATAAGTGGTGTATTACAATCTTGATCAAAATATAGATTTGCCATAGCAAGATGAAGTCTGCGATTATGGGGAACCTGATGGTGGATTTTGATTTATTCACTGAATTCATTCCATAAAATACAAAACAATATGAGTGACGAGTATTAAAAAAAGCGCAAAGCTTAGTACAAGTTAGACCTGTTAAGTTAGAAAAAAAGACTTATCTATTGAGTAGGCCAGTGGTTCCCAACCTTTTTGCTTTTTGCTGACCCCTCTGGACATGCCAAAATTTTCACCGACCCCATGTCCAACTAGTACTCATTGTCCATATCCCAACAATAGGATTAGGCCTACAGATAGAAGATGATTCGCCACAAAAGTACAACATTGAACAGTGGTAAATCCTGAAATTCGAAATAGAAACCACCTCAACCCCACCATGGTTGGGGCTGAGGTGTCTATGTCACTTCTAGATATTAAATTTGAAGGTAATTTTCTTTTTATCCCCATCCAAAATTTAGGGCGATTCATAGTTTATATTCTGCCAATAGGATTATGGATAGAAGATGATTTGCCAAATTATGACATCTTGGAATTCAGGAGGGGAGGGGTACGACTGTAAATTTGACATAAGGTATTTACACTACCTCAGCCCCACCCTGGTTGGGGCTGAGGTAGGAAATTTTTATGTTTATGGCACTTTTGTGTAGATGGCTGGAAATGTTATCCCCCATTTACTTTTAATTTTGTCAAGTTTTGGGCTCCCTCCTGATTTTTAAAATTTATTCAATATCCAGGTAAAAGCAATAAAAGAGAGATAACATGGAAACAAGATGTACATTACGTGAGGATTGTCACTATCAAGTGACTCTCCTATACTGAAAATCTTTAAATAGAAAATACATTAAAAAACTAATTTAAAAGATTCTATCAGATCACCCAAAAAAATATTAGAATTAAAATATAATGCCAATTAAAACAATTTACAGTGAACCTAGTCATGCCTGTCAAAGATATTTCATTATTGTCAAGGTATGATCACACTAAAGACAAAAAAAAATAATGGTATCAAGTTGTTCTAGTAATCTAGCAGCCTACAACATTTTTGCGGTCCCCCACATTTTTCGCAGTCCCCCTGTGTATCCCTTTGACTTAGCGGACCCCCAAATTATTTTAGTGGACCCTTAAGGGGACCCCCGGACCCCAGGTAGGGAACCATTGGAGTAGGCAGTGGTATTTCAGAAATCTTTAATGGTTGATCTTTGAACTGTCTTCTGTAATGCAGTATACTATGTACATAATTAAAAAGTGTGTACCAGAGTACTGGTAACAAATATTTGGAATATGTACAGCATCATGAAGGTAGACTGATATCTGTACAGAAAAAGAAAACGTGAGCCTCATTTATTCTATTACAACTAGTACACTATTAAAAAAACAACACTGAAGTTACAGTACATTGTAGTTTATTTTATTCTTTATTTCTACAAAATATTTGTACAGTTCACTGTCTTTCATATTACAGGGTAGTTTTCTACTTTATACTTATTTTTACTATTATTAATTTTAAAAAGTTTAAAAATCTATACATTAGGGGTTTTCTCTAAAATATTTTAGAGCTATTTTAGTATACTTGCTTCGTGAAGTTTTCATGTTAGAGCTTATTATGTATTATACATCCTACTTATTCTATTTTACAAGTGCTTTTTTTTTCTGCTTGCTCTTCAAAAATTTGGTAGAAATAACCAATTGAATAAAAAAAAATGTTTTCACACTTTCATTTGTCTATTTATGAAGAACTTGCTCTTAATTATTGTAATTATAATTTTGTTACCGGAGTAAGACAACAAAAATTGTTATTCTTTCATGTCTAGCAAAGTTAAGCTGGACAATCACTATTGTGTCGTAGGACGAATGCAAATCTGTTCCTATGAGCGCTAGAAGATGCAATGTTGTCAGTGTCAGTCTGAATGCATTGTCAATAAAAACGATCCATTGCACGCATGTTTTGGCGTTGTTTTCCCAATAGAATGGCGTCAGCCGATGACCGTTACGTGCAGGAAGTACCTGGCTTAACATCTCAAAATCTGTAGCAATTCCTGTGCTTTATTGACTTATATACAGAAACTATCTATTGATTAACTTTAAAAGTAACCAAACTAAATACAATTACATGGATTAACAAATTATAAATGTAATAACTAAACATAATTTAATAAACATTATTAAGTATATTAATAGTTTAGTTCCTTTTATTTACATCAAAATCACAGCCAATTCTGAATTACATGATATTTACAAAAATATAGGCTAAGGGCAAATTGAAAAATTTATTAGATTATCACTCCCGCCCGTATCAAAAATTTGGTACTGTAAATATTGATGCGGAATTAAAAAAAAAAATTTTTTTTGCCGCATCAATTATTTTAACAGCATAAAAATACAATGCAATTTTGTGACTTCAAATACATTTTCTTCAAAAAACTATAAAATCTCCCTCATCAATTTTCTTTTTTTTTAAAAGAGTGATATAACAATCATATTAATAACGATATCAAAAAAGTAAATCAATGTTTAATTGCAGTAAGTACTGTAAAGCAAAAAAGAAAAAAAAGGGAGGAGGTGGGGGGGTTTGGCAAATCATAAAATGTATACCTCATAAGTAGAATTAAATAACAAAAACATTGCAAAACAGCAGAAAATAAGCTAGTCACATTCATTGTTGTTTTTCAGGTGTGACCACAATGTTTCATCATCCATTTCACGAATGTCTAGTCTTGTTTTTTCTTGCATGTGCATGTCACAATTATCTGTAATGAAGAAATAATTAATAATTATATTTTCCTCAAGTAAAGTTGGTATACAACAAAGTTCAACTTTCTCTTTACAACAAGTGTACAAAACCTTACAATATACTGTACATTATTTCATGGAAAGTTCAAAAAAAAAATTCTACATAAAAAAAAAAAAAGATGTAGTGCATTGAACTGGACTTGGGTATGCAAAGTATAGAATGACTTGCATTAAGTTGAATATGAGAAATGGATATTAATGAGTACTATATTTCAAACAACCAAAATACTGGTACACTTTATTGTCGTTCACATTGTAAATGATTTACATGAATACAAGAACTTAAGTTCAATACCCCATCTCACCTTTTCCTTGGTTACTTCAACAGTGTGGAAGATGTCTGGCACTATTTTTTGTACTTCTTTACCAAGATCAAGAGAGGTGGTAAGCAAGGCACCACAATCCATACACAAGTGTCCAAAGTTGATTAGATTATCATTTGCTTTTGTACCACGAGTCGAAACAAAAATCTGCTCTATTTCTGCTTTGATTTTGAATGCTACATTCAGTGCACTAAAAGGGTCTTCGCACTTTATCAATATTTTTAGCACATCACTTTCAAATATTTTGAATCTGGGACCTTTCTCATTTGCTTTCCGTACACGTATGACATATCGACACTTGCTACTTTCTTTAAACTCAGCTGCATTATGAAAGGTCCTGTCTTGCTGTATGTTGTCTAACCTTGGAAGGAGATGCAAGAAGACATACTCAGCACGAAAGACTTTAAATGTTGCATACAATACAACTGATATCCCTGTTGGCTCAATTTCTGATACTTCGCATTCAGGGAGTTTACACATAAGACGGAACTTATGCTCACCACATGCCAACAAAATCTCTTTTCTTATCAAAACATCTATCATCATGTCAGTATATTTGTCCTCAATGTTAAATTGATGGAAGATATGCATTAAAAATTGCCTTTCAACAATACCATATTCTTCCAAGACATCCCATTGTTCGGCAAAGGCCCGTTCTCTTTCATGTCGCGGGGGTATATTTACCAACATTCTAACCACATCCACAAGTATTTGAAGATCAGTGATTACATAATCATCATTGTCAGCTTTTAAAGGTTCATAAAATATGTCACCAGAACGATTGAAGAATGCAAGAATGTTACCGACTTCTATTCTTTTTGCCTCTTCTATATTTTTCTTGCTTTTTCCATGTTCTTGTGCCAATTTTCCTAGTTCATCTTCACTTCCTTCTAATTCTACTTCAAGTTTGCACTGCTTAACAATGTCTTCTCTTAGTGAACTTTTTTTGATAACATATTTATTTAGTTGACGTTTTGATGAAATTATGCGTTGGAATAGATGATATCTAATTGGCCATTTTTTCTTTACAAATGGAAGTTCATTTGTTTCCTCTTCAATGACCATCTGGAGGAATGCCCTTTCTGGGTCTGCCTCATTTTCATTTTCAATAAAAAATACCATCCTTCCTGTGGATGTGTTGAACTTTAATAGGCGGCCATATTGTGAATAAAGTTCGTCTTCAAGTTCCTTAGATAGTATTGTACATTGTTCATCATTTAAACAGTTTTTATGCGTTCCAATTAAAAAGACGACAGAATTTTCTTTATTTGCGTGGATTGCTACCGACTGAACCCAAAATTGGACACGTTCAACAATACCCCGTGAATTTTTATTTCTATTTCTTATGAATTTATTTGCATCAAAAACCACAAGGAAGACTCCCTGTCTTGGAATAAATATGTGATGAGTATCGTAATATATTTGTTGGCCTGCAAAATCGCAAATAATCCATCGCTTATCATCAGGTGGATCATGAGAACAACCAAACTCATATTCTGCTACAGCAACATTTAAACGTGACATGGGGATGTCAGTTTCACCTTTCATCCATAAATATATCTCTAAAGCCATAAACACTACGATACTGATAATATCTTCTAATATTTTCATTTTAAAATCAGTTATTAAAAAATATACCCATATCAAGGAAAATAAAATCCCAATGATTACTCCACTTCCAAGTAAAATAAAAAAATGTGGCATCTGTAAAAAAAATATCAATGGGCGCCCCAGTGAAATCAACTGAATGGTGTGTGTATTCATCCAAGAGTAGGTGTATAAGATTTGAAGAAGGAATACAGTAAGCTCTAAACTGAGAGCAACAATGTTAGATTTAGTTACGATTATCAGAACCATGAAAACCATTAGGTAAATAGTATGTGCCATATTTGAGAAGTTACATATAAGAAAATGGCGAATTAAATATTCAATAACAAAAAATGTTATAAAAACTTCTGATTGCCTATTCAATATAAACTTCTGATATTGATGACTAAATTGGTCGATAGGCAGTTCATGTAAATCTTGATGAATCATGAGAGCAATTCCCAGTAAAATTCCCCTGCTAATAATGAGAACACTTTCAAGTAAAATTCCCCTGTAAAAAACAAGGATGCTTGAAGCAATTTTGACAAAAATTCCATCATAAAGTAATAAAATTAACACGTAATATGAAACCTGTCCTACCAGTGGTCCACAAAATGGAGTGTTTTCGATCATTGATGCAAAAATGGCGATCACTAAATGTTTTAGCATTCTGAAAAAAGAAATTCCTCCACTCATAATACAAACCTGATAATATAACAGAGCTTTGGGCAGTGCAAAATTCAACCGTACGGAATTGATAGGGGAAATTTGTACTGAAGGCCAAAAAAGATTCAGTAAAATAGTAGGCATAATAACTAAACCAGCGTGTAGGACTCTTTGGTACCAATGTGTATGCATAAACATTTCTCCACGGGAGTGCAATGAAAGTGGCTCAAATTTGTTTTCAGTTTCAAAATGTTCCATTATAGTCACATGAGAAGCAAGTTTTTCAAAATCATCACCTGATGATCTAATTTTTTTCCAGTTGCGAGTTACATTGGTTATTTCGATGCCCTCCGTTCTAGACATGATCTCTTGGAATCCGTCTCCACATAGACGTTTTCGCGTTGACGTTTTCCCAGCGCCCGCGTCACCGATAATCAACACTTTGGCGCGATTGAATGGTAGCTCCGCTGTAATTCCATACCGCTTGTATTTCCTTCGAATACGCTTTTGCGACGCTTGATATATGCTCTTCGTGAAAAAAAACACGAGCAAAAAACACATCCATGAAAACTCCATTATTACTGTTATACAGTAATTACAATATCTAGGCCAATAAAAGTTTGACAGATCAACAGAAAATAAGGGCAAACACTGTAGTAACTAAATCCATTTGATCATGGGGAAAAAACCAAAGATACTAGAACACAAGATAGAGTTCTCTACAGAAAAAAGTGTTCCACCGAAATGCATGGTGGAATACAAACAATGGGGCGCCGCGTACGGCTGGATCCAAAAAATTCTGCCACCATTACATAACTGTGAATACATAATCTTTTTTGGCAGAGGTTAAAATCGTTGCCATTATCCATAAGATACAAACAAGTAGGCATAAATAAATAAAAACAATAAAATGACAGACACAGAAGCGTAGAATCGTATGACCGGACTCTGATTAGTAATAAGTTTTCCTCCATTAGTGGAAAAAGCAGGGCGCCGTGTGCGTTTGGATATACCTAGCAACAGAAGGGCGCCCTAAACGTCTGGACCAAGTATAGAAAACTTGCTTTATAAAAAGAAAAGGGCATACGCGTACGTCTGGACCAATTTCCGCCTCATTTTTGCTATGCGAGTGATCTATTTTGTATTTCTAGTATCTTTGGGAAAACCCAAAGTAAGGACACGTCACTTTATAGGCGACGTCAATAGAGGGACCATCACCAGAGATGAGCAATGAAAAGTGCTTTTTAGAGTAGTAGTAGTTTATACTGTAATACCAAAGAACATAGTAGTGCAACTATTGTATTGGATTGCTATTGGATAATATATAATAATGGGTTAATAATGGGTGTCTACAAAACGATGACCAAAAGACCCGAAAAACGAAGACCCACATTTTCTTTCTCCCAACCGTGATAAAATAATGAAATACAACTGTTTTTGAAATACTTTAAATAAGATAATTGAGAAATAATGGAGGTCTTCGTTTTTTGGGTCTCGTTTTGTATACACCAATATAGGGTGTCTATAAAACGAAGACCCTTGAAAATTTCACAAACAGACGTCCAAAAAATTTCGTAATTTTGATTTTGTGACAGCCTGGTGCATTATCATCAAAATGAAAGAGAAAAAATAGGGGTCTTCGTTTTTGGGTCTTCGGTCTTCGTTTTATAGACAGCCGTTTTTGTAGGCCCCCAAAATAGCGGCATACCGCTAGGCCACTTTCCCTTAGAGGGTAGCAGCGCCAAGACGCACTTTGTCACCAGTCGTGCACGTACAACATTGGTTTTGCCGCTTTGGAACTGGAATAAAGAGTAAATCATTAAATTGACTCAGATTCAGGCAATAATGTGCTAAAAAGACGAGTACTATATATACCTAGCATGAAGTGAAACATTATTTTCATCACGATTGAGAGAAAAAATGCTGGTCTTCGTTTTTCTGGTCTTCGGTCTTCGTTTTGTAGACACCCATATAGGGTGTCTAAAAAACGAAGGTACCCTTGAGTATTTCACAAACAGACGCCCAAAAAATTGCGTAATTTTGATTTTGTGAGAGCCTGGCGTATTATCATCAAAATGAAAGAGAAAAAAATAGGGGTCTTCGTTTTTGGGTCTTGGGTTTTCGTTTTATAAACACCCAAGAAGCAACATGTGTGTAGTCAGTAGTACAGAGTTTGCGTAACTAATGAAAGTTTAAATAGACTTGCTTTTACAGCCGTCTAATAAACGTCACATGCATTGTAATTGGTAAATACTGCATAGTGATTGGTAAGTACTGCATATTGTTTGGTAATACTGCATAGTGATTGGTAAGTAGGCCTACTGCATAGTGATTGGTAAGTAGGCCTACTGCATAGTGATTGCTAAGTACTGCATAGCGATGCGTTCAATACTCTGCCCCTCATCCTCATCTTCATTCTTGTCGTCGTCGTCATCCTCCTTCTCATCATCATCACCCTCCATGATGAGGATGATGATGATAAAGAGAATGATGATGAGGATAAGAAGGATGATGAGGATGATGGTGATAATGATGATTAATAAGGATGATGATGATGATGATGTTGTGGTTGATGATGACGAGGATGATGACGATAGATGATGATTTTAATGAGGATGATGTTGATATAATGACAATGATGATGATAATGAAGATGACGATGAATGATGATGAAAGGGATCCGGGGATAAGTATGAGGTTGATAATGATGAGGATAAGGATGATGATGGATGATGATGAGGATGATGATGATGATGATGATGATGAAGAAGATTAAGATGAAGATGATGAACACAACGTGTTCAAAATAAGTTTTTTTAAATTTTATTCTCGCAAATGTGGATTTGTTAGTAAAGAATTTTTAGCCCCATTAAACTTTTTGATTTAATTTTTCTTTTTAAACGTCTGAATGCAATGTACGATGAAAAAAAAATTGGGCAGTTCATTTTCCTCTTTCTGTACAACACTATCAATTACGTAATCCTGCTCTTTTTTCAATTCCAGGGGGGCGAGTCAACGTTAATAATAATAGGTTTATCAATCGTCTGCTCAAGTTATACAATTCTTTATGTAAAATTGGTTTTTCTATTGGTTATATGCACCTATTTGTTTCTAGCCGTACTTATTGTGTAACAGAGTGTATCTGGTGGTATTTGAATCTGTTCAACCATAAAGCCTCCGTGGTCTAGTGGTTATGACACTCGCCTTGACAGCGAGAGGTCGCAGGTTCGAGTCCCGCCAGAGGCATTTTATTACACAATTTCTTTATTCATTTATTTTCAGGACTACATTCGTTGAGAGCTATGCTACACGATGTATTTATTAAGTCCTTTATTCGAACACTGTATTTACCTTTCTTTGATGATTTATATATGATTTAACAGTGTTAATGGCTACTTTGATTTATGTTATATGCACCTATTTGTTTCTAGCCGTACTTATTGTGTAATAGAGTGTATCTGGTGGTATTTGAATCTGTTCAACCATGAAGCCTCCGTGGTCTAGTGGTTATGACACTCGCCTTGACAGCGAGAGGTCGCAGGTTCGAGTCCCGCCAGAGGCATTTTATTACACAATTTCTTTATTCATTTATTTACAGGACTACATTCGTTGAGAGCTATGCTACACGATGTATTTATTAAGTCCTTTATTCGAACACTATATATATATATATGTATATTATATATATATATATATATTGGGTCGAATTTGTGTGGAGGTTGAAAAATACAGGGGGAGTCTTTATGGCCCAAAATAGTGATTTTAGACCACATTGGTAATGTAATTCAACAGGCAAATTACAGTAATATTTTTAGCAAATTTCTTTTAAAAAATTTCGTAGGCATAGGGCGTAGGCCTAGCTGGGTCATTCTTCGCTAATGTGCCATTTTAGAGGTTTAGAAATCATGAAAAAAAGAAGTTTAACATTTGTAATTCTTTTATTACACATGTCATCATTATGCCACATATAGTATAACAACTATAATAAACATTCGGCACGATAATTAGGGCATTTTAAACGTTTATTTAAGCATTCAATTTTCAGTGCTGTAACATAGCAAATATTTCAAGAATCATCTCCATCACACTTTTTTGTGACGGAGATGATGATATACACATAGATGTGAATCTTAGTAAATTTGAAAGATAAATTGTATTATTTAAATATACGATAATACACAATGAACAAATAGGTTTCTAACAACATAATCCAGATCAATTATCATTTTTATTTTATATTCGTTTTTGAGGTAAGAAAACATGTATGTAAGATTCTAAGAATCAAAATTTTCTCTGTGGAGAACCCCCGGGCCCCCCTTTCTTTTTGGGATTTATGGGTTCATGCAAAAAAAAATCGTATGCAAATACTCAATTTTTTAAATGTATGTATACACACATAAGGCCTGTCTACTGTTAAAAATGGGATAAATTTACCTAACCGTTTTCAAGAGGGGAAAACCTTGAATTTTAAAGAACTTAAAAGTAATTAAGACACCTCAGAAGTCGGGAAAACTCATTTCCCGCCTTCTAGGAATCAAAATTTTCCCGGGGGAGGACCCCCTACCCCCTATCTTTTTGGGATTTATCGATTCAAAAAAAAAAAAAAACAATTCGTATCCAACTACTCATTTTTTTAAAAATGTATTTATACACACATAAGGCCTATTTACTGTAATATCAAGTGGAAAAATATACCTGGCCGTTTTCAAGAGAGGAAACCTTGAATTTTGAAGAAATTAGAAGTAATTAAAAGACACCTCAGAAGTCGGGAAAACTCATTTCACGCCTTCTAGGAATCAAAATTTTCCCGGGGGAGAACCCCCGGAACCCCTTTCTTTTTGGGATTTGGGAAAAATTACCTGACCGTTTTCAAGAGAGGAAACCTTGAATTTTGAAGAACTTAAATTAAAATCGCTATAAGATACTTCAGAAGTCGGGAAAGCTCATTTCCCACCATTTAGAAATTAACATTTTCCCGGGAAGAACCCGAACTTCCCTTTTCTCTTTGGGTTCATTGATTCATTATAATAATTTTCAAGAGGGGAAAATCTTAAATTTTGAAGAACTTAAAAGTAGTTAAAAGACACCTCAGAAGTCGGGAAAGCTCATTTCCCGCCTTATAAGAATCAAAATTTTCCCTGTGGAGAACCCCTGGGTCCCCCTTTCTTTTTGGGATTTATGGGTTCATGGAAAAAAATCGTATGCAAGTACTCTTTTTTTTTTAAATGTATGTATAGACACATAAGGCCTGTCTACTGTTAACAATGGGATAAATTTACCTGACCGTTTTCAAGAGGGGAAAACCTTGAATTTTAAAGAACTTAAAAGTAATTAAGACACCTCAGAAGTCGGGAAAACTCATTTCCCGCCTTCTAAGAATCAAAATTTTCCCGGGGGAGAACCCCCTACCCCCTATCTTTTTGGGATTTATGAAAAAAAAAACAATTCGTATCCAACTACTCATTTTTTTTAAAAATATATTTATACACACATAAGGCCATATTTACTGTAATATCAAGTGGAAAAATTTACCTGACCGTTTTCAAGAGAGGAAACTTTGAACTTTAAAGAACTTAAAAGTAATTAAAAGACACCTCAGAAGTCGGGAAAACTCATTTCCGGCCTTCTAGGAATCGAAATTTTCACGGGGGAGAACCCCCGGATCCCCCTTCTTTTTTGGGATTTATGGATCCATGGAAAAAATCGTATGCAACTATTCAATTTTTTTAATGTATGTATACACACATAAGGCCTATCTACTGTAATAACAATAGGATAAATTTACCTGACCGTTTTCAATAAAGAACTTAAAAGTAATTAAAAGACACCTCAGAAGTCGGGAAAACTCATTTCCCGCCTTCTAAGAATCAAAATTTTCCCTGTGGAGAACCCCCGGACCCCCCTTTTCTTTGGAGCTTATCGATTAATTAAAAACAGAATACGTATGCAACTACTAATTTTTAATTTTTATGTAGGCCTATGTACACACACATAAGGCCTATTTCCTGTAATAACAATGGGAAAAATTACCTGACTGTTTTCAAGAGGGGAAAACCTTGAATTTTGAAGAACTTAAAAGTAATTAAAAGACACCTCAGAAGTCGGGAAAACTCATTTCCCGCCTTCTAGATATCAAAATTTTTCCGGGGGAGAACCCCGGAACCCCCGCTCCTTTTCTTTTGAGCTTATCGATTCATTGAAACATGTACGCAACAACTAATTTATTTTAAATGTATGTATACACACATAACCGGCCTATTTATGTAATAAGAATGAGAAATTTTACCTGACCTTTTCCAAGAGGGGGAAACCTTGAATTTTGAAGAACAAAGTCATTAGAAACCCTCAGTAATAAATAAATAAAATAAATATATAAAATTAGATAATGTTGTTATATATTATAATATATCAATCACTCAAATATGCATACTAACATGGGTAAAGACTCAAACAATGAAAGAATCAATTTATCAAAAGTTGTATACAATACAATTTATTGATTATATAATTTGAAAATAAACTTTATAACTCTCCGTCTTTAATATACAATTTATAGTTTCGTTTAAAAGAATAAAATGAATCAGACTTTTGAAGGTGTTAATAAAGGTAAGCGCAAGGAAGCTAAAATGCTCTTTATAGAATTGTTTTGGTTTTAGACTTTAGATGACTAAAAGGCTATAAAACATCTCACTTGTACTCGCAATGTTTATTCAGGCCCCGAAACCTCGGACTCAGAAATACCAGGATGGTGTCCGGTGGGGGATACTTTTACATCTAAAATTTTCTTACTAGGCCTAGATTAAGTTTTTTTTTTGTTAACAATTAATTATATTATTATTTAAAATCGCTGTAATACATCACATCTCATTTTCATATTTTTTTTTAAAATTTTCTATAATTATACATGTGGATAATAATGTGAACTGATTCGAAATTGAAACTAAACAATTAAACATTTAATGTATATTAAAACGGCTGTTTTTAATATTAGGTTTATCATCTAGTACGTTATTTTACTGCACCTAAAGCAAGAATTTACTGAATAACATTTAACTGAGTTCGCCCAAAATATAATTTTAATTTCAATATGTTTTTTTTTTAAATCCAACACTATTTCCCTGATCATCAAGGCTGACACAAGACTTGAAAATAGGGCATGTGCAAAATATGTTCTATAAGGATGATTATAAATAATTAATAAATTTTACTAAATTATCGTACGTTAAAAAAAATTGCGCCCAGGGAGAGATTTTTACAGACACCCACTTCAGCCCCATCGTGGTTGGGACTAAGGAAAAATGGTATGATTATGGCACTTCTAGATTGCCGGAATGACACTCAGACAGGGGGAGACTGGCACCTCCCTCTAATCTGCCACTGCATTTTCCCAGTGGCGAAAATGGGTTCCGATGGGCCCTTTTTCGACTCGTCCTAGGCCTATACAGTCATTGCACAGGTTAAGAATGCTACAGTATATATAGAAAAATAATGGCCAAATCGCAACTTCTTTTTTAAATAATATGAAAGACAGTGTATGGCCGAAAATGATAGAAAAATAAATTGTTCAAAATTTCTTATCATTTCCATAATTATATAAAATGAGATGCTTATTCCTACATGAAAAAATAAAGTGCAAGAAACACGAACACATTGGATTTGATTGGATAGGATATAGCCCACAAAAGTCTAGAAAAAGACTTATTTCCAGTGGGGTCCTTCTGTTGGTGATTGGGCAGTACACCGGGAGACAATCCCCTACTCTACCGAAAAGTAACGTGCACATGGGCCATAAATGCACACAGGACCAACAGCTTAAACGTCTCTAAACGTTAAAGATGGTGCCCTATTGTAATTGTATTTAAGCCCTCTAGCTGAAACACAAGGAGAGGCAGCGATGGGAATTGAACAGGGGACCTAGAGATCTCCACGGTTCAGCACACACACAGTGATTACCACCAGATTAGCCGACTGAGCTAAGCTGCTCTCTCAAGCTGCTCTTATATAATGCAATATGAATAACAATGTCTATAGGTCTATCATATTTATACAAGTTGACGGATGTTGTCAAATACCTATAAAAAATATTCTAGATTCAAGAACACTTTATAGTAGATTTTTAAAAATAGAAATTTGTTTTTCCTTTTCAACAGTCTTGGTTAAAAAGAATAAAATTACATGAAAAATCACAAGACATATATCACATATCTATATATGTATCGCTATATATATATATATATATATATATATATATATATAAATAAAAATAATCAGAATTAAAATTACACAAATTACAATAACAAATAATTTCGAAAGTCATGCTATCAAACATACAAAAATAAATACATATTACTGTATATCTAATAAGTGTAATAAATTCAAATATCTTGTCACTCTAGCATTACACTTAATTCACATCTAAAATATAGCATATTATTCTATACTCCTACAGTACAGTTTAGCATATCAAAAATTAAGTAATAGATAATACATACAGTATTATTACTTTCATAATTTCATCGAATAAGAGACTAAAAAATGAATAAAAAAATACTTAAAATGTTTACTCTTCCTTTGCTAGTGGTGTAGCAATTATATACATTATACATAATGTGGTATATACAAATTAGTGTACCATAAACATATAGTGTTCATAAAATTACAGCTTGTATAGAATGTCAGATCGAATAGCATATTTGCGACCAGAAAATAATTCAGAGCCTTCATGTAGTAGATGATGCTCAAATACGAGGACACGACCTGAAAGAAGTAGAAAAGACATTATATTAATGTATTCTTAAAATCTTTCTTTAATACCTGAAATTTAATTCATTACCTGATTAAACAACTGTTCAAAAAAAAATGTATACATATTAATACTATATACCATATTTATTGAATGAATGCCCCACTTTGAATACACGCCCCTCCGGCCTCATTTGGAATAAGTTTCTCAATGGAATCAACATCTTACTCAAATAAACACCACAGGTGTTTCATTTGTCCTTGAATAACTGCTACTTCTAAATGCATGTAAGCAAAACTAATGAGCGCAACATCATTCTCAACACATTCTATTAATATTCTACTTCAGTAGTATTACATTATTTCTAACCTGGTTGGGATTAATAAGTCTTCAGGATCACACATTAACACATTTTTACCGTAATTATGTGTTGTAGTTCCACATTTACAGTGAAATTAAGGGGTGTTTATTTGAATATAGACGTATCCATTTTACAAACAAAAAAAATAAATAAATGAACGCCTCCCTCAAATAAACAGCCCATCAAAAACCCTTCTTAACAATAAATGTTAAGAAACCCAGGACGTTTATTCGAATAAGTATGGTATATACATATATAACATACAATTTTCTTACTCTTAATTATGTTATCACAATCTGCATTTATTAGCTTGTTCCCCATATCCCCTCCAATATATCTCATTTAAATACCCAGCTGTCTTTAATGCCGACTTTGAGGACAAGACGAAATATTCATTTCCTGAATAAAATATTTTTTGTTCTACTGTCTAACTCAGCATTTTCACATTACCTTTATTTCATATATATATCAATATCAATTTATTAAGCAAACACTTGTTAGAAAAATTAATTAACAATAGTTACAACATTTTTATAACAATTATATAACACATTTCATTTTATTTATTTTTCTCAAATATACATGAAACAATAAAACAACAAATGCAACACATGCAGCAAATGATAAATGAAGTTTATGTACATAATATATAAATTAAAAAGGTATAGAAAAAGAAATCTTTAAATAGGCCTATTCAGGTGTTTGTTTTAAATATTTTACACCACATTAATTTACCTATTTTGGGTACGCATTCTACTCGTTTATCATTTGAAAGAAAAGTTGTACTTCCACCAGAAAACCCCTACAAAATAAAATAATCATTACATTTTAAAAATTAATCACTTTAATTAAATTAATAACTACAAAATATAGATACAATAATTAATCATCAAAATGAATATTAATAGTGAGGGGGTCTCTTCTTCTTGCATATCTATGAACTGATATCTAGTTGCTGTTATTACTTTGACTGGAACAGTCACCAACGACCAGGTTAACAGCATGACCCTCCCATTTATACTCCTGGGTGAAGAGAGGGGTGAATCTAGTGGTGGATAATGAATCTATTTGAAGGAATATTACCTATGCCATTAAAGAAGGCATTGGGGGGGGGGGGGGTGCACCAGACATCATTACACCCTTCTGTCTCCTCCCTACACACACTGGATACATCAACAATGCACTCAATAAATCATCCTTATTTAACAGCAGTAGAGGTAATACTTATTCAGTTAATACAAAATTAATATTCATATACCTCATTTAGATAAATTTGAATAGTGATAAAGGTTTCCTCTTTGCCATTTTCACGGACATAAGAACCATCAAAGTGTGGTTTGAAAAAGTCTCCTTTGTCGTATCGAAGAAATCTAAATCTATAAATATGGAAAGAAATAACTGAAATTGTTATTTTTATAATAATAAAGTTATAAATTGGGTCATAGGCAAACCATACATGTGGCAGAAACATAAAAACCTTATACTAGCTGTAACTGCCTGTTATTTTTACATGATGTAAGAATATATTCCCTCAACCTGATGATGATGATGATGAATACGATGATACTGATTATGATGCAATACACAATACAATAAAACTTTAGTATCCCACAATTGAGAAACTTATTTGGCCATTTGACAGTAAAATATCACAACAAATGCATTAAAATATGCAGCATACAAGAGTGCACCTCATTTAAAATCTGTTAAAAAGTGATGAGGATATGATGATGACAATAATGATAAATATAATGATGATAATGAAGAGGATGATGTCATAAGTATACATTCCTATTGATTTCAAACTATTTTTTGTTAATGAAATTGACAGGGAGCACCATCATGAGCACAAGATATTTGCCCTCATTTGTTAGCAAACTTTATTATAATTCACCGGTATGTACAGAGTTGCTTAATTTGACTTGTTAGTGTAAGTTATTTTTCATGTTTCTTTTGATTATTTTGATTACGTTTTTGGATGCACCATCAATGCTGATGTGTGTCACTGTAAAAAAATTACTCTAAATAAAAACTAAAAACTACAGAATCTTATAGACTCTCTGTAGTCATATAAGAGGTGAGTTGTATAAAAGGAAATGAGTGGACTATGATGATTGTTTGGAAAAATCAGAATTACAAAATTATGTCCCCACCCCAACCCTCTGGCCTTAACAAATTGGCACTGCTCACCAGCTTAAAACAGGGTATTTAAAACCATGATATCAATACAAACTTCTTTTTCTTCCTTATTAATAATGATTTTTCAACATAGTTGATTTGAGGCTCACCTTTCATTGAGTCCTACAACATCATGTGTTTTAAAATTTGTAGGTATAAACATCGCTATCTTCTCCCACACTTTGTCCCGCATCTCAAAAGAATCAATAATACATCGATGACCTTTCCTATAGTTGCTCACTAAGTACTCTCTGAAAATAAAGTGTTTGCTCAAAATATGTTACTCCTGAGAAAAACCATCATCAAATTTTCACCATCATTACTATTTGTCTGAGAGATAGAAACAAGTTTTCACCCCATTTTGCCTTTAAGGTTTCAATCAATGAATCGTTCCATTTATATGGCGTCATTCCAACAATTGTTGCTCGTGGTGCCATTCCAAAAAAGAGATTATAGAATTCAAAATCATAAAAATCTTACATCACCTTCAGACCGTGTAATTTAGCTTTTATGATGCAGGCCACCGAAAGCAGCCGTGGGCCCCGAGGCAGCTTTCATTTCGAGTCTTGGGAAAGGCCCCACTTGGGGCTGGGAGCAAAGCCCCCAAAGGCTACTGCCTTTTAAGGGATTAGAGGACTAATTTAATCAATTCTAGAGTGCTTAATTCATCAGGTCTATAAAGTATAAAAGTAAAAGCTTTCTTTCCTTTTATTCAAAAGTAGAGCAAAAAGATTCTTAATGAATGAAAGTTTAATATATTAATTCAGTATTTATTTATCAACTGAAGCTCTTTTAGGTCTATTCAAATTTTCTAACTTGTATGTATGTTGACGATATCCAGGGTCCAAGTCTTAAATAATCATTAACACCGAACTAACTATTAATAATGCACCGAATTTACTATTTTATACATTGTAAACATAAACTCTACAGCAGGGGTCAAGACAATATCCATGAAAAGAAGCAATTAATTACGAGCTTTTCTCCATCGATTAACATCAAAATAGTTGGGGCCCAGGAAGGGAATTTAACAAATGGAGAATCTCGACTTGACAACCTCCAACATGGTTGGGGCTGAGGTAAGAGGAGGGGGTGAATTTCCCCTTTAATCTGCCACTTATTGGCTTTATTTACAAGTTTTGTGGAAAAAAACACATGAATGATACTGGATGAATACGTTCTATATCAACTGTTGTTATATCAGCCTGTTATTTTTTTAACTAGCAGCCCTAGCCCATATCAGGTCCTGGGGTACTTGCCACGTCTGCCCGGCCTCTCGGCAACACTGTTGTGATGTACTTTGTTGTAAGAAAATCTGGTCCATGTGCATATGCTACATGGGGTAAATTTTCTTTACAATGTCAAAACCTTTTACTTCATAAAGTTTTGCCAATGCATTGCAAACATCATCATCCTTACATATCTGGTCATTTTGATAACTTACGATGTGCCAGAATTAATCTTGGCAACTTGAAAACCTTTATCTTCTGCAAGTTGAATCCATTCATCATATTCCTGAAAGACAAACAGGGCCATATCATTACAAATGAATATACAGAGAAATGTGTTGGTTCTGTACTTATAGGAAAAAATGTAGTATAATATCTCAATTGTCTCAACCATTTATGTTTTACTGACATGTATGTTAATTACTGCATTCATATACATAATTTTGAGAAAAATGTATTGTTCCCATCAGGATTTGAACCCAAGACCTTCCCTCTACTGTTCGGATACATTACCATCTGAACTATGAGGCCAAGTGGTATACACCCTTGGATTTTCCCATTAGGACATGCTTTTCTCAGGGTATTGTGTAATACGCAATGGATCTTTTTGACAAAAAACGTATTTTATATCTTTCTATGCATTCATAAATACACTATGCATACCTGTATCTCTGTAAACAATGTATGGATTGTTTCATATATATTTAAAAAATTTCATGTATATGCCATGTTAGTAACATCAAAAAAATTGTATAGGAATTAAAAAATAACCCTTTATTAAAATCAGAATATTTAACCTTACCTCTTTGGTAAAGACATTATCAAGGTAGAAGGCAAGTTTTTCTCCTTTTTTGAAACCAGGTGGAACTATATCAACCTTTGTTATGTCTGTTCCACTTGATGTCTCTCTTTGAGATGGTTTTAGCCATTGTAATATTGAAGCCATCTAGAAGGGAATTAAAATGTCTTGTGGTACTTATGGATCTTGGTCAAGGAGTACATAGCGGTGCTTACAGTGGCAGTGCAAGTGGGGGTCCAGGAGAGCAATTTACCCCATCAACAAGTTATTGTGGTTGCCAATCCCTAATATACTATGGTCTAAAAGCAATTTTGGGTCATCATCCTAAACATAAAATCTCTGATGTATGAACCCACACAGGGATTTTTGGAGATATTTTGATGTTGTTTATTATTATTGTTATTGTTATTGTTAATAACTAAAAGCAATATTTGGGTCATCATTATAAACATAAAATCACCGATGTATGAACCGCCCAGGGTTTTTTTGAGATATTTTGATATTGTATTATTGTTTAATTGTTATTATTATTATTATTATTATTATTATTATTATTATTATTATTATTATTATTATTATTATTTTGCCTACTGACCATGGGGTAACTATTCATCTAGACATTCTTCACTCAGTGAAAATTTTATTAAAAAAACAGCCCTATCTATAGATCTGCCGGTAATACTAGGCTAGGCGGTGGCTCTTACCTTCTTTCTACAGCAGTAGGCCTAGGCCTGATTGTGGAACTCGATTTGTTCGGGTGTTACTTAAAAATGTAGACTTTATTATGCTTTCACTTGTTATCTGAAGTATGATAGCCAACGTCTGACAATCTATTACAATGGAACCTTATATACCTATCAATCATGTTTATATATAGGTCTGAACAAAGTACAATAACAATATGGTGATGTGGTCGAAATGATGTGTGATGACGGAAATTTTAAAAAAAACATGACGACAGGGGATTCCCCTTTTTTCACGTCACCGTAAGTTTAAAGGTTGTTCGTGTACGCCTCCTTCTTTAATAAAAGATGTCTCGGATGTATTACAATGAATCACTAAAATCCATTCCAGTATCCAACCATGATTGGAGTGAGCCATGGAATGAAGATCAGTACCACAGGTAGGACTATGACTATTGGCGCCGGACTATTCGTAATCCTAACAAGTAGTTAAAAGGCTAACCTAGGATAAGAAGTCTACCTAGGCCTTAGACTAAGGCTTAGTCCTGGCCTAAGGCTAGATATAAAGTAGAACTTGGTCCGCCTAGTGTGGTTAGGCCAGGATGGTGCTTCCTGGTTAGGCCTAAGCTCTATCTCTGCATTACACGGAGGAGCCCCGGTTATCGTTACGAAGCTATTAGTCTTTAGGCAATTGGCGGCACAACTGATGTGTTTGTATAATCGTTTTTACAGCGACCATTTAAAGGAGACTCACTCAATTACTAAACTTTGTTACCGCCCATAAGTGTGCTTATCAATTAACCCACTGACCAATGAGTACCCAGCGAAACTGGAGAAGAGTTAGGTTGTGTTTACGAACTTTCAACGAAACCGGATAAGTAAAAAATGACATAATGCCCAGAGGGAAGGTCATTAGATCGCTCGTTTACGAACCCCAAGTTATTCGGATACGGACAGTAAGATAGGTCTTTCATGTATTAAAACAAAACAAACACTTCACTGCTTTAGCCTTCCTCAGCCCAACAAGGCAATTCAACAACGAATTACCTCGCCTTGCCTACGCTCGAACTCCAACCAATTCTAAAAAAACCCAGGCCTTAGAAACTAGAGCCTAGCCAACTGGGAAAATTACACAAAAAAAAAAGAAAAAAAAAAAAGTTTATAAAGAAATTCTGTGCGATTTCTTTATAAACGGCGTTGTTCCATCAGGTTCCATCAAAACCATCTTGTATGGATGTCGTTCCCCATATGCTAATCAACGTTTGGGTTGCTTCGTCAGTCCACCCACTCTGTTCAGCTGCAGCCATTGTATATAGGGGTATATCGTTGTAAAAATAAACTTAATATTTCGGCTTAAAAATTGGATAATACTGTATAATTTATAAAGTGAGGACTACTCTAGCGATGTCACTGGACGAAGGCATGGATGAAAAGAAATTGCGGACTCAAGTGCTTAATCTGAATAGATTTCTCATAAAAGTAAGGTCAGTTGACACCATGCTGGGGGCTATTGCGCCCGAGGCAGCCTCCAACCCTCCAAACATATCCGGAAAGGATAAGCCCGGAAAGTCCAGATGTTTTAGTAATTATAGCTAGTTGAGGAATGATTAATTATCACCTCAGACTTGAGTTATCCGGTTTTCAAAAGTTCGTAAACGGGTCCTTACTTGATGACACAGGGGCTTTCTGACCTTGTGTCACACGTTACTACCCCTTGGGTATAATAAAATTAATTGCTAGGATACAATTTATTCTATTCTGTATTGTAACGTGCTCTTTTACTGTCATTTGGTGTGTACCGCTTGTTTTAATAGTGTACGTTCCAATAAATTATTATATGTGTATGATGCAACACTTTTAACAATGGCATCAATTCATTATAACAGTAGCATCGTCATATATATGTGACGGAGCGTACTATTTGAAAAAAAATAGGCCTATATAAGAACTGTAGAAAAAATTAAAAATAAATGAAAAATAATTATGCACACGAAAATAGCAGGCAGATTAGATTTATAATAGTTTTAAAAATAAGGAGAAGCGATAAAAAAATACACAAAGTACCAGAAAATGCATTACTAGATATAAATTATAAAAAGTGATATAAATGTGAATAGGCCTATCAAATAAAAAGTATAAATATTTTTTTACATGTATATGTTGTGATTACATGGAAAGTAGTACTTGGCCAGTCGAAAGGTAAAATGTACTAATGTATTGTATGCTAGGTACTACAGTGGAAAATCTATCAAAAATCTATCAATCAGCCTACAGTCACTGCGTTTTATAAAGTTAAAATAGAAATACCGTATTTATTCGAATAAACGGCGAGGAGTTACTAATTTGCTACAGGCATGCACTTGCGAATTAAAGCTGAATAAAATGTGAACGTATATAATAATAGGTTTTTAGGTATATGGGGTTGACTCGTATGATAAAAATGATAAACGAACAAATAATTATGTTAAAAATCAATGCTTATGGATAGAATAGAAATAAATTGATTTTGTAAATTTTACAAGTTTCAATTAAAAGTAATGTAAATAGGCCTGCCACGCAAAAGCGAAATCAAGTCAAAGAAATATGAAGCTTCAGAATATGCTCATTAAGATTATTTTACTGTTTTACATTTTAAGGCCTATTTATGTATTTATTGTGTCTGTATTTAACATTTTTCTATCTTTGACGCATTCTTCGGCTACCTGCAGTGTGGCACGTCGGCGTTCATTCCACCTACAGTTAAGCTTCAGCTTAAGAGTTTTTGGGTTGGTGATAATTTCAGTGAATGATCCAATCATTAGTAGGTTGTCTGCTCCTAATTTCCGTACTTTGCAACCTTTTCCCTCAATCGATCCGTCGTTATCCTGTCTCTTATACACATCTAGATGTGTATAAGAGACAGCCCTTGGGTATAATAAAATTAATTGCTAGGATACAATTTATTGTATTCTGTATTGTAACGTGCTCTTTTACTGTCATTTGGTGTGTACAGCTTGTTTTAATAGTGTACGTTCCAATAAATTATTATATGTGTATGATGCAACACTTTTAACAATGGCATCAATTCATTATAACAGTTGCATCATCATATATATGTGACGGAGCGTACTATTTGAAAAAAAATAGGCCTATATAACTGTAGAAAAAATTAAAAATAAATGAAAAATAATTATGCACACGAAAATAGCAGGCAGATTAGATTTATAATAGTTTTAAAAATATGGAGAAGCGATAAAAAAATACACAAAGTACCAGAAAATGCATTACTAGATATAAATTATAAAAAGTAATATAAATGTGAATAGGCCTATCAAATAAAAAGTATAAATATTTTTTTACATGTATATGTTGTGATTACATGGAAAGTAGTACTTGGCCAGTCGAAAGGTAAAATGTACTAATGTATTGTATGCTAGGTACTACAGTGGAAAATCTATCAAAAATCTATCAATCAGCCTACAGTCACTGCGTTTTAGTTAAAATAGAAATACTGTTTACTTTCGAATAAACACCCCTCCCCCACCCCACCAGCTACATTTGCAATGATCGCCTCCTTTATAACACCCAGGGGTGTTTTTTTTTCCTCGAATACACCCAAATAATTGTAAACAACACTATGTAAGCAATATTAATATCAGAACAGTTAATTAAGTTATAATTAATAAATATAAAATATCACTCTCATTAATGTTCTACTCCAGTAAATAGAATTATATTTTATAACATAGTCGAGATCAAGAGGTTTTATGATCACAAAGTAACACAAGTTTTGATGGTAATTATGAGATGTAGCTCAAAATTTACAGTGAAATCATTGGGAGGGGGGAGGTGGGGGTGGGATTTATATGTATCCATTTTACAAAAACCATTAAAAAAAATAATGGCCACGTGTAACAGTATAAATTTATATATACAGTTTATTCTATACAAGCGGTCGTCTGTATGCAGATTTATTTTTCAGTATATGACTATTTATAGCAGGATCTATGATGTAGTCGATCGAAAAGTGATGTCATATCCGTAAGGTCAAGTTGTAAGCTTGGATTCATCCTCTGGGTTTTATCATATCGCTATAAAGACACAAGCTGGCAACACAGTGGTATTGAAACACAGTGGTATTGATAAGGAATTACTGAATTGAATGTTCTTCACTGTGCATTGATCGCGGATTAATTTGTAGATACAGTAGAACTATTATAGTAGCTGCAATAAGGCGCTTTTCTCAAATCATCATGACCACCAGTCCATCATTCAAATTAAACTTCACTTTGTGAACTTACTGTATTGTTTTGGACGCACCTTCGATTGAGAAGTGTGCCACTGATAGAAAAGTGTAGTTCCTAATAATTATAGGCCTATTATTAAAAGGTCTTAAATTGTTTATAAACATACCAAGACCTGTACAGTAATTTCAATTAGGCATATCAATTTATTATTTGTAATATCCTGTTCGTTTAACACACGAAATCGTATTTGTCGTTTTTTTGTTGACAACCCCCGCTCGATCTGCTTGCGTACAGACCTTCTTAATGAGGCTTTACCTTGCTCGTACGCCGCTTTCAAAATTGTAATTAGTGAGTTAACGCATTCTACGGCTACCTGCAGTGTGGCACGTCGGCGTTCATTCCACCTACAGTTAAGCTTCAGCTTAAGAGTTTTTGGGTTGGTGATAACTTCAGTGAATGATCCAATCATTAGTAGGTTGTCTGCTCCTAATTTCCGTACTTTGCAACCTTTTCCCTCAATCGATCCGTCGTTATCAATGTGCAAGGATGTTATAAATTGATGAACATCCTCGTCTTCGGTTGCAAGAAATGATCCAATTGTAACTAGTTCATCATTCACAACACATTGTATTATTTCCTTGCTTGCTGTTAAATCTTGCATAGGATCAGGTGACAAAGTGGGCAACAATCGAACGGCATTTCCTACCTAATTGTCCGATAAATTCCTAGTGTTCTTCGCTTTCAATGTTTTCCCTTTAGCTTTTTTGGCTTTAGAATTTGATTGAACGTCCAGATTAGGCCTATTCTCTACCTGACAGCAATCTAGCACATCACCGTACTCGATATTAATTTGTTTAGTACCATCACTTTCATTATACGATACATTCAATGTTTTATGAAAAGGATCATTGACAATTACTTCACCACTGTGTTGCTGAGAATTCAGGTTGAAATTGATCTTATCCCCTTCAGCCAGATTTTCCGGTTTAAGCATATAATATCTCATTGAAGCACTAAATTGCTGTTTACTCTTTCTCTTTCTTTGATGTTTCTCCAATGTTTGAGCTGGTTTTCTTTTTCGGATGTAATCCGGCAACAGAAATGCGTCATGTTTTAATTGCCATCCTTCGTAATGAACACCAAAATGATTACCGTCTTGTAATAGGTTTATCCTAGTGATGGTAGCTGCTCTCCAGATACCACACTCCTTATCA